AGAAAAATGGGAGCCTTATGTTGCAAGGATGGAGACTTACTTCGGAGTAAACCAGGTAAGAGAAGATGGAGTGAAGGCTGCCACGTTGCTGTGTGTTTGTGGGCAAGACGCCTTTGAAATTGCAGAAAATTTGGTATCCCCTGCCTCTTTAGAAACTGTTTCATATGCAGATTTAAAGAAGATGATGAAAGAGCACTTCCAGCCAAAGCAGTCTGTTATTGCTTGGAGGCATACATTTGAACAAAGGGATCAGAGAGCAGGGGAATCTGCAAAAGATTTTATCGCGGCCTTGAGAAAAGCAGCTAAACTGTGCAAGTTTAAAGACTTGGAAGAAAGGCTACGCGATCGTTTTGTGTGCGGACTGAGGAACAGAGACATACAACAGAAGCTCTTTGCAAAGGAAGATGTCTCTTTAGAAGATGCTCTGCGAGAGGTTACAGCAGAGGAAGCAGCAGGCAGAGCGGTGAAGAATTTGCGGCCCACCAGAAGTTCTCCAGAGACTGCAACGGTCCATAAAGAGAACGTGTGGAATGATTCGGAAGAGGATCCTGAAGATGAAGTGGATAAGCTTTACCAGGCAGCCGGAAGAAGGCAGAAGAAACGCCCAGACAAAGCGCCTACAGACCTTCAATGCTTCGGGTGTGGAGGACGACACAAGCGAGCGGACTGTCGGTTCCATTCCGCCATCTGCAGAACATGTGGAAAGAAGGGCCACATCGCATCCGTCTGTTTGAGTCGGCAGAAGGTACAACCAAAGAAAAATTGCATCTGAAAGGTACCAGAGTCCCCAGCCAAAACAGGGTGGGTTTCTGCGCAACACGCAGAAACATTTTGAGGATAGGCACACAAAAACCCCTAAAGAAAAAACTGTCCCTTAAAGTAAGGTTGCAAGGGGTTCCTTTGTCTATGGAACTGGATACTGGTTCCGCACTTTCAATAATTTCCCTCAACACATTCAGAAAAAAGTCTGCAGCAGCAGTGGCATTCGAGTTGCACTCAGGCCTTCCAATGTCATTCTTACAGATTTTCAAAATTCTAAGGTGTGCGTTAAGGGGGAGGCCACTCTTAAGGTACAGCATAAGGATTTTGAAGGTCCTTTAGAGGTGTTGGTTGTTGGGGGTGAACGAACGAGTCTGATTGGACTCGATTGGTTCGAGGCTCTGGGAATCCAGGTCACAGGGCTTCACAATTTGCAAACGGAGAGCCTAGCAGCAGTCTGCAAGGAATTTGCAGATGTGTTTAGCTCTGAGCTTGGATCCTACAAGGGGCCTCCAATTTCATTGAAGCTAGATCCTTCTGTACAACCCATAAGGGTTAAACCTAGGAGAGTACCATTTGCTCTCAAGAGTAAGATTGATGCTGAACAGGACAAATTGCTCCAGCAGGGCGTCTTAGAGCCTGTTGATTCTAGTCCATGGGAAACCCCCATAGTAATGCCTATAAAGGCTAATGGGGACATTTGTATTTGTGCAGACTATAAATGCACACTTAACAAGGCCCTTCAGCAACATGCATATCCAGTACCTGTGGTGAGCCACATCCTGGCGTCCCGGAAGGAGGGCAGGGTTTTTGCAAAGCTAGACCTGGCTCAGGCATATCAACAGTTGCTTGTTGATGCTGCAGCACTGAGGCTCAGACAATTGTGACCCATAGAGGGGTTTTCAAAGTGAAGAAGCTGCAATTCGGAGTGAATGTAGCCCCAGGTATTTTTCAAAGTGTAATGGAAAACACCCTGAGGGGTATTCTGGGTGTCTGCCCTTATTTTGATGATGTTCTCATCGCTGGGGCTTCACCTCAAATCTTGGCTGAGAGGTTGAAGGCTGTCTTACTTCGTTTTCGAAAAGCAGGCCTTAAGTTAAAGAAGGAGAAGTGTAAGATTGGAGTCTACTCTACTGATTTCCTGGGGTTCAGGATTGATGCTCAAGGCATCCACCCATCTGAGGATAAATTGAAAGCCATTCACTCCCTATATAAGCTGCTTTCAAGGCTCTGTGAACAATAGGGTGTAAGAAGGCCAACTAATTTTAAAGAAGACAAAAGGAGGCAATGGTGTCTGAGCCATAATAAAAGTGTAAAGGCTCAAATGAAACCTTCTACTACTGTATTATATAAAATACTCCAACAGTTGCCAGGCCTGGAGAAAAACGACACCCCACTGAGTTGTGTCATTATACTGGAGTTCCATATGGGAGTTGCAGTCCGTGGACCGGCACCGGTCCGTGGCATGTCAGCAACCGGGCCACACAAACAAGCAAAGCCCCATCTGCAGGGTGCAGGCAGCATGCAAAACCAGGCCACCTCTGGTCTGCAGAAAAAACTTTCTTCATGGAACCGGTCCCTGCTGCCCAAAAGGTTGGGGCCACTGGCTTAGAGCATGACAAATGCAGGAACTTCTCGACTTACAGTTTGTTTAGTGATGGTTCGAAGTGTGAGGTACACAAGAAATGTACATGTTGCAATTTTCCATTTCTGCTAAAGGAATAGGCATATAGAGGCACTTGGCTAAGGTATTTTTTAGGAAAGGAGATGTAAGCTGGCGGAATAGAGAGGAACTATATACACTGACTTAGAACATATTTTTAGAATAGTACACACTATTGTAAAATAGCGTATAGCTTATAAATAACATATTATCCATTTATGTAAGGTTATTCTTTATAAAAACTGCCTAGAGTTAGTATTTTAAAGTATAACTATGAACCAAAGTGCAGCCATGTTTAACTGAAGCATGAACTCTGTTACACACATAGCTTCTAGATGAAAAGCAGACATTCTTATAGATAAACAAGGGAAGACGTAAATCTTTTTAAACTGTAATTATCCAGTTTGAGTAAAAGTTCACCTTGTAGATAAGGCTATACTCTTAGTGAACTGCATGTTACAAATCATGCCACAGACAAGGAAGTGAAGATAAGACAGGATCAAAGGGCACTTTTGATCTAATAATTGGAGGGTTTGGTCACTGTAATGGTTGCTAGGCAGTCGGAAAGCATGTGACCGAGTGGGTCTATCAACTGGGCTCACTTTTGGAAGGATTTGGCGTGATAAAAACCTATGCAAAAATTGATTTAGGTGTGGACTCTGGGATTTGCCATTGCCAAGAGTTCCACCAGCTTTTGCAAAAGCTTTAATAAGACTTGTTTTGTTTTCCAACACCCTTGGAGTTGAATTTTTATTCCTCACAGAAGTTACAACGGCTCTGAAAAAAGGTAACTATAATCTTTTTCATGCTTATGACCGTGGCAGCATCCCCATGGTCACGAGATCAGTATTCAGATACTTGGCAACTGACTCAGATTTGTGATGGTCGCAGCATCCCAGGGTCACGTGATCCCCTTTTGCGACCATCTGACAAGCAAAATCAATGGGGGGAGCCAGATTCACTTAACAACCGTCTTACTAATTTAACAACTGCAGTGATTCGCTTAACAAAAGTGGCAAGAGAAGTCGTAAAACTCACTTCACAAATTTCTCACTTAGTGACATAAATTCTGGGATCAGTTGTGGTTCATACATTGAGGACTACCTGTAAATGCTCAAATAAAACATTCTACTGACGTATTATATAAAATACTCCAACAGTTGCCAGGCCTGGAGAAAAACGACATCCCGCTGGGTTAAACAGCTCCTGTTGTGTAATTATACCAGAATTCTATATGGTGCTTGTCGACTTATTTTTCAAAGCACTAGAAGGCAGGACGAGAAACAATGGATGGAAACTGATCAAAGAGACAAACAATCTGGGATTAAGGAGAAACTTCCTAACAGTGAGGACAATTAACCATTGGAACAGCTTGCGTCCAGAAATTGTGGGCGCTCCATCACTGGAGGTTTTTAAGAAGAGACTGGATAAGTCACTTGTCTGAAAGGGTATAGGTTAGACATGTCAAACACAAGGCCCGGGGTCTGGATGCAGCCCTCGAAGTGGTTTCATGTGGCCCACAAAGCCATCCTGAAAACAGTGAGGGAACAGCCCCTGCTGCCTTGGCCCTGGCCCAGGCAAGCTGGGAGCCAATGTACAATTTTGTGGTGGCCATCTTGGCACTTGCCCCGGTCCCACCCCCTTCTGCAAGAGACCCTCAGATTTGTCCCACTCCTGCCCAGGCCCCCATAGGCACCCTTGACATGAATGATGTAGAACTGGCACGCCCACCCAGTAGGCCACACCCACTCCATCCACGCCCACCCAGTAGGCTGTACCCACTCTGGCCACACCCACCTGGTCCCCCAAGGGCAACCGCAATGCTGATGCGGCCGTCAGTGAAATTGAGTTTGACATCCCTGGTATAGGCTCTCCTGCTTGAGCATGGGGTTGGACTAGAAGACCTACAAGGTCCCTTCCAGCTCTATTCTGATGGATCTATTGCAGTGGTTCTCAACCTTTCTAATGCCGCGACCCCATAATACAGTTCCCCATGTTGTGGTGACCCCCAACCACTTATACATCACCGGGTGCCAGGGGTGTGGCCAAAGAAAAGGGGGAAAAAATGGCGGACAGCCTTGTTTGGCGACCCCTGTGAAATGGTCGTTCAACCCCAAATGGGGTCCGGACCCACAGGTTGAGAACCACTGATCTATTGTTTAGTGCATTACAACTACTGCCTTAAGGTAGAATTGTTCTGTCCTTGGTGCTGAAAGCAAGAAAATAAATGTAAACAGTATTATCAGTTCATAATTAGAAGTGTTGGGGGGATTGGGGGCTCTGGAGGGGCAGATGTCCCATCCCTCCTCCTGCGTGTACAGTGAAGGGCTTGGCAGAATTAGAAACGGCCCAAGCATCTGTCCAACAGCAATCAGCTCCCAGATCAGCATAGATTATCTCCAAGATTAACATCAGACCAGCGATCAAGAAATAACACCCCAATCAGGAAACTGTCAGAGAAGCCAACAGTAAACAGCCCAACCAAAGAATTTCTAAGACCTCTCCCCACCGACGCAGACAGGGCAAGCCACCAGACAATAAACTGACAGCACATGCCTTTCCTTATACCAGCACTTACCATGTAACCTAATTTGGATAATGAAAAGTCTACAAGAAAATAAGCAAGCGCAGAGAGCATCAAGATAAGAATTAAAAATTCATTCTGCAGGAGCAGCAAAACACATTGAACACGCCATCTCCGATTGGGCTTCAGAGGCAGAAGCAGCGCCCTCTGGTGTCTAGAGAGAGGCATTTTTTTCTAGTTTCGCTTTCCATTTCTTGGAAAACTTGTGGTTTCCCTAAATAAATATTTGGCACCCTTCCTTTTGTTTATCCGTCTTTTTAAAAGTGCCAGCTGCTTTTTTTTTTTTATTAAGCCAAAGGGATCAGGAGGACTGCCTTTTCCAGATTTTTCAGAGCCTGCAAAAAGAGAAAACAAGAAGCAGCGCCCTCCGGCGTCTAGAGAGAGGCATTTCGAGGGCACAACGGCAGCAGAACCTTTCGCTGTCACTCCGACATGGTGGAGGGGGACCAGGTCTACCTTGCCCATCCTCCATAGTATAGCATTGCAGTCCGGCTCGCCAGGGGAGTGAAAGGGAGCAAGGAATGGCCTAACTGGGGGAGGGGGGGGGCTGAAGGAAGCGAGTGCAGGGTGCATGGAGCAGCTCCAGTCCCTCCACCAGCCTCACCTCGTTGTGGTGGCAGCGATGGGATGTGCCACATGGGCTCCTACCAAGAGCGGTTGCAGCAGAAGTGGGCCAGCAGCCATGAGGGCTCCTGCTGGATGGGGCTGTTGGTTCCGCCACGGCGAGGTGAGGCAGGTGTCACGAAAAGTATAAGACACAGCCCGAAACTAAGACCTACTGCCTCTTTTGGAGGCAAAAATAATATAAGACCTGGTCTTACTTTCGGGGAAACATGGTAGCAGTATTCTGGTATTTGAGGGGCTGCCACAAAGAAGAGGGGGTCACGTTATTCACCAAAGCACCAGAGGGAAGGACAAGAAACAATGGTTGGAAGCTGATCAAAGAGAGAAGCAACCTGGAATCAAGAAGAAATTTCCTGACAGTGAGGACAATTAACCAGTGGAACAGCTTTGCCTCCAGAAATCCTGGGCACTCCATCACTGGAGGTTTTTAAGAAGAGGCTAGACAGTCACTTGTCAGAGATGATATATGTTCTTCTGCTTGAGCAGGGGGCTGGACTAGAAGACCTCACAAGGTCCCTTCCAACTCTGTTCTACTCTAAAAACAAAGAAAGCCCAGTTGCCTTTTGAAAAAGCACCTTAGGGACAACTTAAAACTGAAACAGCACCGAGCTGACTCTAGCATACACACTTTTTATTTTTATAGTTTTTTTTATTTAAAGAACAAAACACAAAAACAATAGCAATAGTGATGCATACATACATTGTGGAAGTGAAGGAAAAAAACATATCAGTAAAAAGAGCTGGAACAAAAAGATATAAAAAATAAGTTCACACATTACAATTCTATATGTACTTGCAAAGGCAAAAATATAATATTGTAATCACATTCTTTAGGGCAAAATTATTCAAAACAAATATATTTCTGACACATTTACATAGCTATTTTTAAATTTAATTTATAGCTGTATAAATGTGTCCCATGTTTCAATTGCATTTATCCATACAAAGTCTTCATCTATAGGCTCATAGTTGATGGCCAGTCAGATTTTCCCTCCGCTGAGGGGAAAGGGCCATAAATTTATCTTTCCAATATTGCTTAATACTGAGTCAGCCCTGAGCTTATGAGTCTTTGGGACTCTAACATACAGACAGTCCTTGACTTACATTTCTTTAGTGACCATTCAAAGTTACAACAGAACTAAAAAAAAGTGACTTCTGACCGTTTTCATAGTTACGACCGTTACACCATCCCCATGGTCACATGATCAAAATTTGGGCGCTTGTCAACTGGCTCATATTTATGACGGTTGCAGTGTCCCGGGGTCAACTTTATGACCAGCAATGGGGAATCCAGATTCACTTAACAACCCTGTTACTCACTTAACAACTGCAGTGATTCACTTAACAACTGTAACAAGAAGGGTTGTTAAAATGGGGCAAAATTCACTGAACAATTGTCTCACTTAGCAACGGAAATTTTGGGCTCCGTGTGATCATACATCGAGGACTGCCTGCACTAGAGTAGCTTGGCATCCTACAAATTTAATAGCTAATAATACTGTCATCCAAAGAGGGTTGGAGGGCAGCAAGGGGGAACTGGGGCTGGGCCAACAGGGTGGGGTGAGGGGTGGGGAAGCCCCATCCGCTCTGCAGAAAACCCTCTCTTCGCAGAACCGGTTCCTGGTGTTCAAAAACTTGCGAGCTGCTGATCTAGAACAGGGGTCTTCAAACTCGGCCCTGTTTATGACTCATGGATTTCAACTCCCAGAATTCCTCTGCCAGCATGCCTGAGGAATTCTGGGAATTGAAGTCCATGAGTCATAAAAGGGCCGAGTTTGAAGACCCCTGATCTAGAAGGTGAATTTAAAGAGAAAGAATGGGAGGTGAAAGAATCCAGTGTTTTGCTAGGGCGCAGTTCAAAACAAATCACATTTTCATCACTACATATTAAGATTCTTAGGAATCTTGTCAGTTATCAGTGGCTTTCTTTGAAAGCAGTGTTCCTGATTTTTGGGAGGACAGTGCCCCTCAATATTTCAGAGGTGCCCCTGCCGGCTCCACACAATCAGAAGTCCCAGAGGAGGGACAACGGGAAAAGCGGCAAGAATGAGGCTCCAGAGGCACTAGTGGTTTATTCTGCAGTCGATGACCGACATGACCCCTTCATCCTCTAAAACGGGTGGGGAAAGATGTCCCCTTTATGACTTGTGGACTTCAACTCCCAGAATTCCTCAGCCCTCATGGCTGGTTGAGGAATTCTGGGAGTTGAAGTCCATAGGTCTTAAAGTTGCTATGTTTGTAGACTCTTGAGCTACCTGGTCAGCCCTTCTTAGCTCTCTCCCTTCTGAGCTCTTCCACAGTGTAATAAGAATGCATCCCCCAATCCGTTCCCTGTACCCTTAAAGACACAGGAATCAAGTGCAAAGCAATAAAGAAACACAAACTCCATTTTCTCTCTCTCTCTTTAAGGTCCCTCAGGGGTGTCACATGTCACAATGTTGCAATCCTAGACTGAAAGGCTCAGGCAACTGTGAAAGCTTTAATTTAGATTTAAATTAAGCCTGCTTATCTTGAAAGAAAACTTTCTAAAAGGCAACTAATTACGTTTGTTTAAAGGGATTAAACCTTTCCTGTTGTCTTTTTCTCCCTTCCCCCATCCAAACCACCTCCTTTTATAGCCTCTCTGTTAGAGAATTTTAATTTCTCTATTGGTAAAAAATAAATCAGAAGCTCTCACAGTTGACTGCATTTAGCTGATTCAAATAACTTTATATTTGTATAAAAATATTTACAATACCATTCTTCTTTACAGCAACATATCTTAATGAAGACTTCTTACAGAGACAGACCAGAGATAAACCTTGAGACTGGAAATCCAGCTCCTAACTCAATACTCTTTTTGCACAGACTGAGTAGCACTTTCCTCACGTTGGCTGATTGAGTTACCACATGACTCTTCCTGTTCATGAATATTCCAACACTCCTCCCTTCATGACAGGAAGAGACATCAGACCTATTGACTTTACACATTTTCCATAGTGAACATCACCCAGTGGTTTAGTCATCATGTCTGCCAAATTATCCTCAGAAGAACAATGATCAATTGTAATCAATTTTCTTTTTACAGCTTCCCTGACATTACAATACTTAATGTCTACATGTTTACTTCTGTTCTTCACCCTGTCACCAGTTGCCATTTTTATACAGGCAGCATTGTCTTCAAATACCTTTACAGATTCTTTTACATTAATATTTAAATCTTGCAACAACTGTACATACCATGTTACTTCAGAACACAATTCAGATAAAGCAATAAACTCTGCTTCCGCTGTTGAAATAGCAACAGTTGTTTGTTTTCTGGACTTCCATCCAATCAGAGTCCCTCCAAACAATATTATAATCCCAGAATTTGATTTCCTTGTGTTTATGTCATTTGCATAGTCACTATTGACATAACACTTTAATTTCAATTCCTCAGTAATCTGTATTTGAAGACCCAAATTTATAGTTCCCTTTAAATATCTGAGAACCCTTTTTACACCCATCCAATGTAACTTTGTAGGTGCAGCAGTAAAACGATTCAAAATGCTTACTGCACAAGCTATGTCTGGTCTGGACCACGGTGATAGATATAACAAACTCCCTATTGCTGAGTGATATATCTCTTGATCACAGGTTTCACCTTTGTCCGCACTTAAACTATTATAAAAATCTGCATTCATGGGTGTGGGAGCAATATTGCAATCTTTCATATTATATTTCTCCAATAACTGCTCAATTTTTCTCCTTTGACTGAGAATATAACCACCTTTTTCATTTTTCTGTATCTCTACACCGAGATAATTTTTTATTTCTCCCAAATTCTTTAATTCAAATTTCTTTCCTAATTTATCAGCAAATTCTTTGACTTGTGATGCATCCTTTGCGATGAAGCAAAGATCATCCACAAATGATAACAGTAGACAATTCCCTCCTTGTAACTGTCCAGTATATATACAATTATCAGCTTTGCAACTTTTAAATCCAAGATCCTTTAAAGCAGTATCTAAACAGATATTCCAGTTTCTGGCTGACTGCTTCAGCCCATAAATAGCCTTGTTTAATTTATATACGATGTTAGATTTTGCAATTTCATATCCTGGTGCTTGGATCATATAAATTTCTTCCTCTAACTCAGAATTGAGGAATGCAGTTGTGATATCAAAGTGCCAGATTTTATGCTTATATGCCGCTGCCAACGCCAGTGCTAATCTTATACTCTCACTTTTCACAGTTGGCGCAAATACTTCATCGTAGTGCACATTCTTTAATTGTGAAAAACCTTGTGCCACTAACCAGGCCTTATACTGTATATCATTATTTGGCAATACCTTTTTCTTATATACTAATTTACAACCCACAGCTTTGGTTCCCTGTGGCAAAGTCACTGATTTAAATACTTCGTGGTCTCCCATGGATTTCATCTCTTTATCCATGGCCTCCTTCCATCTTTCTTGTTCAGCTTTTGGTAATGCCAACACTTCTTTATAACTTCTTGGCTCATACCACACATTGCAAACCTTTACCTTGCTGGCAGAATACCTGTCAGGCAGAATTCCTTTATTGCATCGCTCTGACCTACGTGGTATTAACTGCTCCTGTGTCTCAATTCTTTCTGGTTTCATGTCTTGTTCAGCCTCTCCTTCCTGAACATCGACATCTTCAATAATGATTTTTCCATCATTAGATGAGTTATTGTCACTAAACAGATCACCGTCATTAAGTGAGACATACCCAGAATTTGCATTAATTCTGTCCCAATTTTGTTCTGCAAAATTAGCAGACCTTGAAATTATAATTCTTTTACTTCCATCGCTAAAGCGATATCCTTTTGACCCTGGCTCATAGCCCACAAACCTGAGCTTTCTTGCCTTTTGCTGTCCCTTTCTTCTGATTGCTTTTGGAATATGTACCCATGCAGTACTTCCAAAAATTCTCAAATGTGCCAGTGATGGCTTTCTCCCATATAGAATGGCATATGGAGTATTATTAATGGAGGAACTCCACAGCCTGTTAACTATATAATTAGCAGTCAATATGGCTTCTCCCCAATATGACCTGCTCAAACCAGAATCCTCCAATAATGAATCTTTCATTGTTTGCAAAACACCATTCCTTCTTTCAGCTACACCATTCTCTGCTGCTGTGTAAGGATTTGTACGTCTGTGTCTTATCCCCAACTGCCCCAACCATTGTTGGAATTTAGTTGACATAAATTCAGTACCTCTGTCAGTTTACAACTGACACACTTGTTGTCTGTATCTTCTCTTTACAAAACTTACCCACTGTTTGAATTGTTGTAGCACCTCTGTCTTTGCTCTAAGCAAATAGCAAAATGAATACCTGCTATAATCATCAACAATTACCAGTACATATTTTGCTCCTCCCAAACTGGCTTGCATAGGTCCCACCAGATCTGCATGGACCAGCTCTAGAACTCTTTTTGTTTGTCTTGTGCTACATTTACTAACTGGGAATGCCTTTGACTTCGATGCTTTGCATACTGCACAGTCCAAATATGTTTTGCATCCCTTCAAATTTAGCCCTTCTGCAAAATCTTGCATTTGCTGCAAAACTTTAAAGCTTGCATGGCCAAGTCTTCTATGTAGAAGATGAACACATGAATCATGCTCTGCAACATTCTTAAATATGTGGGAACATTGAACCTTTTGTCCCTGCAATACATAAAGATTATCTTCCTTTATGCCTTCTGTACAAATATTCCCATTCCTTCTGATGAGACATTTCCCATTTACAAAAATGACCTCAAAACCTTGTTTGTCTAAATTAGACACACTTAACAAATTATGTTCCATCTCAGGTACACAAAGCACATTGGTAAACTTTGATTCCAAATATGGAATTTTTACATTGCCTTTTCCAATGACTTTTGCTTTCTGGCCATTTGCCAAAGCCACAGCTTCTTGTGCTACTGAAACAAACCTGCAAAATAATTCAGAGTCATTAACAATTGTTTGACTTGCCCCACTATCAATTAGCCATTTGTCTCTGTTGTTGCTATTGCAAACGTTTGCAACACCAAAATGCTCCTTTTGCAAAGCAGTCCTTTTTCCTTGCACAAATGTCTTTTTCTGCAAATTGTTCCTCTGCAAACAGTTCCTTTGCAAATGTGTGCTCGCTCCACAAATGTAGCAAGTCTTTTCCCGCTCTCTGCTTGCTCTCTGCTTGCAAAATCTCTCCTTTGTTGCAATTTGGTCTGGATCTGATCTGCTTGTTTCTTCTCCTCTGGAGACTTGCAGTCTGGACCCCCTCCTCAGGAATTTCTCCTCCTCGTGGCTGCTTCTAAAATGGTGTTTTTCCTCCTCATTAAGCAAACATGCCTTTAAAGCCTCAAACTTTAAGTCTTGTTCTTCTTTGCATTCAAATATTGTAGAAACTGTGTCCCAGGTTTTATCTAAACTGTTCAACACCAATAAAAACTTCTGGGACTCAGGGAATTTAATCCCACGTTGTTCTAAGTCCAAAAATAAACTTTGCATTTTATTTAAATGCTGTTTCACAGATTCACCTAGTTGCAAACAGGCCCTGTAAAGTTTTCTTGATAATTGCACTATATTGCATGCAGAAACATTCACATTCACAGCTCTCAACTTCAACCATATCTCCTTTGCAGTCTTTAAATTTGCAACATTTAGAAATTGTGCATCATCTAAATTCAAGATGAGATAAGCCATAGCTTGATCATGGCTTTTCTGATCTGCTGCTGCAAACACTTGTGGTGGATTTTCAACAATATACCACAGCTCTTTTGCTTTCAACAAACATTCCATTTTTGCAGCCCACACAATGTAATTCTTCTAGCCCAAACGAGGCACACAGCTTTTTTTAAATTCCATTGCAGCCATTTTGCTAATTCTGCCTTGTTCTTAAACTTTCTAAACCAGCGGTTCTTAACCTTTGTGTGACGGCGACCCCCGTCACACAAAGGTTATGCGCATGTGCGGCGGCGCGCATGGGGGCGGGCCCCCGCGCGCGGCGCGCATGCGCGGCGGCGCCCCCCCGTGCGGCACGCATGGGGGTGGGGCTCCGCGCACGGCACGCATGCGCGGCGGCGCCCCCGGAGGCGCGCCGCCACCCCCACGCGCGGCGCGCGTGCACGGCACCGCCCCCCCAGAGGCGCAGCGCGCCCCCGGAGGGGACAAAATGGCGGGTCGCCACCTTTGGCGACCCCCGAAAGAGGTCGATCGACCCAAATGGGGTCGCGACCCATAGGTTGAGAACCGCTGTTCTAAACCAACGGTTCTCAACCTGTGGGTCGCGACTCCATTTGGGGTCGAACGACCATTTCACGGGGGTCGCCAAACAATGCGATCCGCCATTTCCCCCCCCTTTTCCTTAGCTGTGCTACTCCCTCTTATTCTATTGGCTTTAGAAAGCCAATAGAATAGACTCTCTTGAATAGAGTCTAATTCTATTGGCTTTCAAAAGCCAATAGGAATTGTCCAGGGCTGTCTCTGCCCTGCTGAGCCTGCCAAAAGCCCCAGTCTGCAAACGGTGCTGCAAGGGGAACAGTCTGCAGAGCTTCCCTCCCTGTTGAGCAACTAAAAAGTAAGTAAAAGAGGGCCGCGGTGGGAGGTGGGAGGCCAATGGGTGCAGGGAGGGTTGCTGGCATGCGTGGGGCCCGGCAGGTGCATCCGGGCCTGCCTGCCACCGCCCCTTGCCGGCTATGCCTCAGCCAGCGCAGGGGGCGGCACTGCGCATGCGCGCCGTGCCGCGCATGTGTGCCGCGTGCTTATGACCGGGGTCGCCAGTATAAAAAGGTTGAGAACCACTGTTCTAAACACAGGCAATTTCTTCCAGCTTTAAATTACAATGCAGTCCTTAGTAAGCTCTGGGCCTATAACCTGTTAGAGAATTTTAATTTCTCTATTGGTAAAAAATAAATCAGAAGCTCCCACAGTTGATTGCATTTAGCTGATTCAAATAACTTTATATTTGTATAAAAATATTTACAATACCATTCTTCTTTACAGTAACATATCTTAATGAAGACTTCTTACAGAGACAGACCAGAGACAAAACTTGAGACTGGAAATCCAGCTCCTAACTCAACACACTTTTTGCACAGACTCAGTAGCTCTTTCTTCACATTGGCTGACTGAGTTACCACATGACTCTTCCTGTTCATGAATATTCCAACACTCTCCTCTCCTCCTCCCCCTTTTTCTTCAGTTTACCTCCAGCTCCGAGCTGCTTCCGGAAGCGTCAATCAGCTGGAGCCAATCAGCTGGAGCCCTGCTGGCTCCTGGGGCTTCTGCCGAGCCCAGACAGTCATGCAGCTGCTCGGCTCGCTTAGGCTCATTCCCCTCCCCTGCTACACTTGGCTAGCATTTGTGTACCACCTGCCACGTGGCAAAGTACCACAGATGGTACGCGTACCACCAGTTGAAAAGCCCTGTACTACAAGACCTCCAAGGTCCCTTCCAGCTCTATTCTATTCTAACTCAAGCGGTTCATCTTAGCTTGCTGTATCAAGCAGGCCTTCACCTCAAACCATATATTTACTTCTTCTGCCATAACAGCTTTGTGAATACAGCCACCTTGTTTCGATATCCTTGTTTACCACATTGTGTTGAACTCAGCGGACATTTTGCTACTTGCTAAATATCTGAGCAGTTAAAAAGCTTACAAATATCCAAATACATTTGCAAACATTTCATCAATTCAATTGCAGTCCAAATAGCTCAGCCAGAGCCAGGAAGTTGACATCGTGACATGAACAAAGAGCCACGTGGGAATGTTTCCTGTGCTCCCATCTCAATTGACAGCATCGTTTCAGACTGCAGAGAAAACATAGGACAAACAATGATCAATTCAACACTGCAGAAGGACAGCAAAGTGACAGACCTGCAATGACAAAAAACATCTACTTTTGTTCCTGGATGAGGACAAACCCGGAGGCCAAGATCTATCCTGGTCGGTGACTTCAAGCTGGAGTGTGACTCTGACTAATTAGAATTGACCTTGACTTTTTTCTTGGGATCAGCTGTCCCCCAGCTCAAACTAATATGGGTTTTATTTAGGTGGTGGAATCAAATAAAATGTACCAATAAAGGAGTATATTTGTTGCTCTGGCTTGGGAATTCTGGGGGATGAAGTCCACACATCTTAAAGTTACTAAGGCTGAGAAGCATTGCTTTGAGAAGGTCCTTGGTGCTCTCTGAGTTTGCTTGCTTTCTTGCAGACGTTTCATTACCTAACTAGGTAACATCATCACTGCTGGTAAGGAGTCTCGTTTGCTGACAGCAAGCTCAGAGAACATCAAGGACCCCTCAAAATAAAATGTTTTGGCTTGACAAGGGGGAGGGAGGTAGAGAGAGTTTCCAACTTATGACCATAATGGAGCCTGCCCATTATGGTCCTAAGTCATGGTGGTCGTAAAACAGGTCACCCATGTGACCGACCCAATTTTACAACTTTTTTTTGAGGCAGTCAATTGTTCACCATGGGCTGGTTTTGTGGAAAACTGCAGGTTTTCGACAAAAACATCACAAAATGTGGTCATGACTATGGAGATTCTCAGTCATCCAGGTCATGGTTATTCTAAAATTGTTTTTCCAGGAGGCAACTGGACTTTCTTGTTTTTCTTTAAAGATGTTTCACTTCTCACCCAAGAAGCTTCTTCAGCTCTGATCAGATGGTGGGGAATGGAAGGATTTTTATTCCTTGCAGACAGCTGGTCATTTGCATTCTTCCAAGTGGCCTCAACGACTCTCTAAAATAGTGGTTCTCAACCTTTTTAATGTTGCAACCCCCAACTGGTCGTACGTCGAGGACTACCCAACCGGTCGTAAGTCGAGGACTACCCAACGGGTCGTAAGTTGAGGACTTTCCCTGCCCGGGAGCACCACGCATGCGTGGTGCTGCCCCTGCACCAGCCGAGGCGTAGCTGGCAAGCGGCAGAGATGGCGCAGGCCGACCACCAGCTGGGCCACCAGCTGGCCCAGCCCAAGGGAGGTAAGGCACCCGCCGGGCCCTACGCGTGCCAGCAACTGTCCCTGCGCCCGCCGGCCTCCCACCTCCCACCCCTGGCCCTCTTTTACTTACATTTTTAGTAGTTGCTCAGCAGGGAGGGGTGGAAACTTCCAGATAGCTCGCCTTCACTGCAGACAACTTGCAGCACCATTTGCAGAATGGGACTTTTGGCGGGCTCAGCAGGGCAGAGACAGCCTGGACAATTCCTATTGGCTTTTGAAAGCCAATAGAATTAGACTCTATTCAAGAGAGTCTATTCTATTGGCTTTCAAAAGCCTATAGAATAAAAGGGAGTAGCACAGCTAAGGAAAAGGGGGAAAAAATGGCGGACTGCGTTGTTTGGCGACCCCCGTGAAATGGTCGTTCGACCCCAAATGGGGTCCCGACCCACAGGTTGAGAACCACTGCTCTAAAAGAAGGCAAATAACCAGCTGTTTGCAAGGAGTGTAAATCCTCCCAGTTCCCACCATCCAGTCAGACGGAGGAAGCTTCTTGGATGAAAAGCAAAACATCTTCAAAGAAAAACAAGAAAGCCTCATGAAAAAGCACCTTTAGGAAAACACGGTCATGTGACTGCAGGAAGCTGCAAACAGCCATAAGTGCTATGGAGAGGTGGGAGGTGGGGAAGATGGGCAGCCCTTAATATTTTGGAAGCTGGATGTAAGTACCTCTGAGGAGGTCCGTTGTAACTTCAAATGGTTCCTGAGCAACTGGGCATAAGTGGAGCTCTACCTACAGAAAAAAATGAGAAGACAGAAATGACCAAAATCAGCCAAGTTAAGGAGATTGAGAAGCCTTTTTTGACTCTACAGTCATCAGGAACTGAACTTGATTCGGTGCCCTCAAATTTATTTAATTGCAATTCGCAGGAGACCAGAAAAGGAGCAGCAGCCAACACCACAATCGTCTGTTCCTTCTTAAGGCTTCCAAAATGAGGTCTTGAACAATCTGGGGACAGCTCTCCCCCTCCCAGAAGAGGCTGCAGGAATCCCTGATTGTGGGAGAGAAACTCCTCTCCTTCTCCAGTGCCAGCATTCAGTTCAACCTGGTCAGAACTGGCAGCTGTTTTGCTGCAAAAGGGAGAAAAAGAGGGAAGTTCCCATCTAGTTGTATAATGGGAAGCTTCTGCTCCCTGTTGATGGGTCAGCTCCCTGAGGAGATGAATTCCTGGATATGTTCTTCATCTCTCTTCTAGACTTCTCTTTTTCGCTTCTCCTCCGTCCCTAAGTACCACCACCATGAAGGATTTCCCCTCCAGCCCAGCCATCTCCCCCCTTCTCCTTCCACATCTCCTCCCCCCCTCACCCCATCATTTCTCAGGGAGAACCTCCATTTCTGGGGTCAAAGTTGCTCCCGGCTCCTTCCCTCATCTCTCTACTTCAGAGCTGAGGGTCCAAAAAGACAGAATTGGAGCCAAGTTGTCACAGCAGAGAAGCTGAGTGGAGGGGCGCCAGTGTATAACCAGCTTGGTCTAGTGGTGAAGGCACCAGGTTAGACACTAGGAGACAGTGAGTTCTAGTCCAGCCTTACATACGAAAACAGGCTGGATGAATTTCAGCCGATCACCAGGAAATGGTGAATTCTAGTCCCGCCTTAGGCATGAAAGCCTGCTGGGGCTAGTCACTCTCTCTTTCAACCCACCCCACCTCACAGGATTGTTTTTGTGGAGAAAACAGGAGGAAGAAGAGTACTATGTTTGTTCCCCACAATGAGTTACTTATAAATAAATACAAAGTAATTGTCAAGTTTCGAAGCATGATTTTACTGGTGTGATAATTATTGCTTTTCAGGTGCCAATGAACTCCGGGAGGGGGGAGAAAGGAAGGGTTTGGAATGCAGTCATCAAAGATTCAGAAGCTAGACCGTGAGACTCAAGGACATTACACCAGGTGTTTGACCAAACCCAGAGACACTTTCTCATAACAATATTTTTCTACTTGATTGGGCTACGTGACCTGACCCAGAGGGAGGAGGGAGAATTCCATGCTTTTCCTATATCGATTTGAGAGGGATCTTGCCAGAGCTGGTTTTGCTTTCATGTGTGCCGAAATGATGTACTCAATAAAGTTTTACATTAAGAGATTGGAATTTCTCGAAGGTGTTTGCTTGGTTGGGTTCGTCAGTCAGAACCTTGACAGTAATAAAATAAAATAATAAAGATGGGATACAAAATTTAAACGGACAAACCTACCTGAAGGGCTCCAGGCAGCCCATAATATTTTTATAGCAGGCTGAGAAAATTTTGAACCTGGACTGTTCCCCAATCCTACCCGCCCGTCATTCTTACCGACATCTTTGCTTGCATTTGTTCTCAGATTCCTTTCACAGCCTGGACTTTGATTCTCGCATGCAAAACACAAAAATATTTGCTAATAATTCTACTCACGAGAAGGGTCATTCCTGGGATCATCCTCTCCTCTCCTGAATCCTAGATTGCAGAAAGAGAGAGCAAAAAAAGGAGATGTTAGGAGAAAAGCTCAGGGGAAGGCAGTCAACGATGGGAAGGCGTAAAACTTTCATGACCTCACTTCAAAAGATGCATATTGCAAAAGGTGGTGCCTTTTAACAAAATGTGTTAATCTGAAAAAGGGTTTCTAAGATCTGGGGGGGGGGGGAAATAGGACTTTAATGTTCACCAGAAGGAAGACTGATGGGAAGGCCTGGAAAAAACCCAGAAACATTGGGAGGAAAACAGTTTGTCCGTTTTTTTACAAATGGCTTTGGGAAAAAAAGGAAAAAAAACAGAACATCCCCTCCTGTTTTTCCCCATTTTTTCTGGGTTTTTTTTTCCAGGCCTTCCCATCTCTACTGGGGACTAACCAAATCTCAGGGAGGGGAGGTTATTGCCCTGTTTCCAAAAGGAGGAGCAGGAACAGAGACGGTACCCTTTCTGGATCCAACCAAAAGACATTGCCGACGCATCAGGAATCAAAGCATGCCAACCTCACACGGCAACGGGCCTTCCAAATAGGATCAAATCAGTCCCTCTCTTAGGACAGAGAATCCCAGGATCCTGGCTTTGATACAAATGGATCGTGTTAAAGATATTCAAATTTAGTCGCTGGAGCAGTGGGGTTGTGCAGTGAGCCAAACAACACAGGGGTTGTTTTCAACATCCAGCTTGAGGATCCAAATAAATCATCAGATTCACTCTGTTTTTGAAAATCTTACTGTTTATTGAATACACGGCATGGTAACGTCAAAGCAAAATTAACTTTGAGGTTCCCAGACACCAATTCATAGAATTAAACCAATAAAACAAATATACATACATATAGACATGGATTGGGGTTTTTAATTCCTAGTCCATGTCTATATGCATGTATATTTGCTTTTATGTATTTCCAGATTTTGGGGAGGCGATATGTCAAGAATGAAACTTTGGCAGCTATGTGCCTGTTCATTTCAACTTGCCATTTCTTTAGGCGTCATGTATATTTGTTTTTAACTAGGTACTGATTGGTTTGAGTGTGCTGGCTCCTGCCTGAGGCAAACTGCACTGTGATTGGTTGTTGTGGGTGCGGTGGAGGGGGAGTGTCCGTTTTTCCCGCCTTTTTTCTTCTGTGTGCCTTCTCGGCTCTGTTGTTTACCTCAAGATGCTCCTGTTTCCCTGACTATCTAGTCTGCTGTATATAGAGATGTTAAATATATTTATTTATATAAACCTACATGTTTGTGTCAGCTGCTGCGCAATTCCCTGACAGGATCACCTGATTATCAATGATCAATGGATCATTCCCCAGGAGCGAAGGGAAATGGAGAAAGCAGCAAGCAGAAGCAGCAGCTGGGAGGGGAGGAAGATTTTCATTGAAGCCCTTCTGTTTGAACAAAGCCTTTGAGAGGGATAGAACTGGAATGCCTCTTCCCGACTCAGAAGAAGACAGGACTGTCAGCTGAACTGAGAGTGGAATCCCAGCAAGAAGCTGAGATCTCAGATGCTCCTTAAGTCAGCTGGGAAAACAGGGAAAAAGGAAGCCCAGAAAAAGAAGAGAAACAGTTTGGTCTAGTGGTTAGGGCACTGGGCTAGAAAGCGGAAGACCATGCTTGAGATCAGGTCCTGCCTTAGCCACGAAAGCCAGCTAGGTGACCTTGGGCCAGTCACATAACCACCTCACAGGGTTATTGTTGTGGAGAAAAAAATAGGAGGAAGGTGTGTTGGGTATGTTTACAGGCCTGAGTTATTTGTGAAAATAATAAAGACAGGTAATAAATAAATGGATAAATAAACAAGCAAGCAGCAAGTAAGCAAACAAGGTAGCTAGCTCCCCAAAGGGAGACACATGGGAGAAATTGATCCATCTTTCAATCACCCAGAAAAGGATACTTACTGAGAAATGCCAAGATCCCAGAAATTGCACACACCAAGATAATGCCAGCCACACTAACACCGATGATGAGCCCCAGACTGGAACTGGATTCTGGAACTGGATTGGGGGAAAGAACAGATCACTCCATGGGACCACAAAAGATCTACTTATTGGGGGAAAAGATCTCAAACAGCGAGAAAGATAAGGGATCTACCAAGTTAAGAAATGTCAGATGTTTTTATGTCATAGGAGACGTGTAGAATAGACTAGACTAGACTAGACTAGACTAGAATAGAATAGAATAGAAGCAATGGATGGAAACTGATCAAAGAGAGAAAGAACAATTAATCAGTGGAACAACCTGCCTCCAGAAGTTGTAAATGCTCCAATACAGGAGGTTTTTAAGAAGAGACTGAGCAACCATCTGTCTGTAATAGTATTTGGTTTCCTGCCTGAGCAGGGATTGGACTAGAAGACCTCCAGGTCCCTTCCAACTCTACTACTATTTATTGTTGTTGTTGTTATGATTATTATATATCTGGGCACAATTTCTCTTCCATAATCCTCCAGCTGTAAAAAGCCCAGCCTTTCCCTCCCTGTAGCCTCTCACCCTTCAGGTCCAGATCCAGAGGCTGCTGCAAGCCATCGTGCTCCACGTGGCACCGATAGCGGCCCCTCTCCTTGGGATCGATCTGGATTCCGAGCGAGTAATAGTAGGTCCCATCAGAGTTGGGGGCCAGAGACTCATGGAAGGTGTCTTGCAGCCAGAATTCCCCATCCCTCGTCCAGGAGGCATCGATCCCCCTGGGGTAGAAGCCGTAGATTCGGCAGACGTGCCTCTCCATACCATCGGCTTCTGTCCTGCTGCTCATCGTCACCACTGGAGGAACTGGGGAAAAAAAGGGATGTTAGAATCAAAATTGAGCCTCTCTGGAAATTAGCTTGACATGCATCGCAAGTGCAACCAGAACTAGGAGTCTCCAAATAAATCAAGCTCCTTTGAACAATTTCTTTCGGCCAGAAAAACAAACATAAAAGCACTTTATTAAATACAGCTAACTCTCAACTTACAACATTTAGTGATTGTTCAAAGTTACAACAGCACAGGAAAAAGTGACTTAGTTTTTCACACTTACAACCATTGCAGCATCCCATAGTCACATGATCAAAATTCAGATGCTAGGCAACTGACTTGTATTTATGATGGTTGCAGTGTCCAGGGGTGATATGATCACCTTTTACGACCTTCCGACAAGCAAAGTGAGTGGGGAAGCCATATTCTCCTAACAACTGTGTTACTCATTTTAACTGCTATGATTCACTTAACAACTATAAGAAGTCGTAAAATGGGGCAAAATTCACTTAACAAATTTCTTGCTTCTCAACAGAAATTTTGGGCTTAATTGTGATTGTTAAGTCGAGCTGTATTATTATTTTCTCTGTTACCTTGCAAGTACACTGAGTGTTTCTGTCCCAGAGACAAATTTCTTGTGTGTCTAATCACCTGTGGCCAAATCAAGTATTCAATTTGATTTGATTTGATTCAAATGAACTCTTCTGGTCCTACTTCCTATCTGGGTTACTGTCATTGTTCCGACTAATGAAACACTTCAAAGAACTTCAAGGCATTGTTTATCCTAAAAAGTCTTTAATCGTGAAACAAAGTGTCGGCACAGCATGGTGGATGCCAAGATCTGAATTCTCCTCCCCTGAGCACATAATATTCAATCATAATTCCTTCCTCTAATTTGCAGTCATAAATCACGTTCTCCAATCAGTTTGAAGGGCAAAGTTTCCCTTCCATTCTGTAGCCCAAGGTTTCTTATCTTAACTAATCCCCACACACATTATTTCTTCTCCCCTCCCAGCATCATCTAATTTAACTCTAAAAGTACCACACATCTTATACAGAGAGTGGCTGCCTCTTCATATTTTGTCAAAGCAAGAACATCCAATGTTAGCAGCACTGACAATTACCTTACAAGACTGACACTACTATTTCCACTTCTAGAGACTGATTTTTAAAAAAAAAATATCAGAGAGGGCTAAAAACAGGGGCAGCATCAAGGCTGCAATCGCTTGGATGACTCCCCAGATTCTTCCTTGGAGATCTGGAACTTGGTTAAATAATGACTCTGAACAGCCAGCCAAAAGAGAATCAGAGGAGGCTTCAGCAAAGAGGAGGAGGAACTGCCCCCTGCACCTTATCCGAGAGCACACAGAGCAGAGAAAAGGCAGGCGCAATGGAGGTCAGCCAGATTACGCGGGAGGAGAAGGCCCTGCCCGTCTTGATAGGCTGCACTGGGAAGCTAGGTATTTAAGACAGCAGAAATAGGAAGGCGTTACTGGGAACGTGCTAGTTTGCCGGCTGTTTATTTACTCGTGCTTCCTGCTTCACTGTGTTTGGAATCATGCCTTGGAGACTCTGAACCTTTCTTGCTAAGTGAGCTGTCATGTGTGTATTTAATTTTGGCCTGGTGGATTTAAGTTTGTTTCGTGGAGCAACTTTCACTTATTTATGAGCAACTTTCACTTATTTATGGACTATTAACCAGTTGCTTTGTGGACTAATCTTGGCTTGCTTGTGGCTGAGCCTATAGGAACAGTTCTGAATATTGGTAAAGGGAATTACTGGGGAACATTAATAAACTCACTAAACCACAGTTACCTGGGTGTGAGTGAGTGGGGCAGCACATCGCCTGACGATTGCCAGCAGAAAACAAGCTGGGTCATCTGGCCTGTTCTTTGCCAGAAAACCTACACAGAAAACACTTGCAACATTTAAGCAGATGCAGCTCCCATACTTTCTCTCTGGCTGTTTCTCCATACCTTCCCTCAAGGATGTCTCCGATCTGTAGTGGTCGTTCTTCTGCAGCCACTCCGTGCAGATGGTCTCCATGAAATCTGTGAAACGCTGATTGGCGGCAGTTTCAACCCTCCGCTTCATCTCCTGAGCTTCTTTGTCAACTGCTGTCCAGATGCCGGTCGCCATCTCGTAGCCAAGGAAATGCCGCCCATCATAGCCATACTGCCAGCGGCCGCTCTTTTTCCCATCTTCCCCCACTTCACAGAAGACCATCAACTGGACGATGTGAAAGCCTAAAAGAAGCATCCCAAGGTTAGGAGGAAAAGCTCTCTAGGAAATCAGAGAAAGCCACTTCCTGCTGGAGCTCCAGATTCTGTGACTGCTGAGACAAGAAAGCAAGAAAGACAAGGATTGCAGGAAGAAATCTTGAAGGCAAGTCAAGGTTGAGACAGAATTTGGGATCTGTAAGACAGATTTCTCACTATAAAGGAACTCTCTATAAACAACGCTGGGAAATTCCTCATACAGTTCAAATTTCCTTAATTAAGATAGGATTTCTTAGAGGCTCACATCTCCCGGCACTGGAGTGAAGTTGCCTTTCCTGAGATCACTTTCAGATAACTCAAAATTGTGAAGGCAAAAGATTATTGTTAGCATTTGTGGATGATATTTGTTACAGATGTTGAGACTCTAGAAAGAGTGCAGAGAAGACAACAAAGATGATCAGGGGACTGGAGGCTAAAACATATAAGGAACGGTTTTAATGAAGAGAAGAATGAGGGGAGACATGATAGCAGTGTTCCAATATCAGGGCCTGCCCCAAAGAACAGGGGGTCAACCTCTTCTCCAAAGCACCTGAGGGCAGGACAAGAAGCAATGGATGGAAACTAATCAAGGAGAGAAGCAACCCAGAACTGAGGAGAAGTTTCCCGACAGTGAGCACAATTAACCAGTGGAACAATTTGCTTCCAGAAACTATGAATGCTCCAACACTGGAAGTTTTTAAGAAGACTGGACAAAAATTTGTCTGAAATTGTATAGGGTTTCCTGCCTGAGCAGGAAGTTGGACTAAAAAATCTCTAATGTCTATTCTATTCTATTCTATTCTATTCTATTCTATTCTATTCTATTCTATTCTATGTTGTTGCTATGAAAATTATACGGATGTACAGGTAGTCTGATGACTGTTAGCTTTAGCGACTGTTCAAAGTTAGATGGGCCTCCCCAAAGGTACTTACAATCTGATTCCGAAACCAACAGCTATTTCCCTCCCTGTGGTCACATGACTGTATTTCAGGCACTCAGCAACCACTGTGTATTTACCGCCAATTGCAGCTTTCCATAGTCATGTGATTGCAATTTGTGGACATTTTTTGCCCCAAACTGGCATTTTCTTCCAATTTTTGGCAAAAACAGCCCATGATCATATGGGAATTAGGGAGGCGGATCGTCTTCAGAGACAGAATGGACTCCTTCCCAGTCGATTCCAGCCTGACTCCAAGGTTGCTGAGCCCTGAGAATGACCCACTATCCGTCCTGTACCTCAGCATTCTCAAAACAACCTTTTAGCACTGTATTGGCTGCCGGTGGACTGGTCAGGGAGGTTGGGTTTTTGTGGGGGAAGAATAGGTTGGTGCTTTGCGCAGGAATGTTAGATTCCACTTGGCCTTACTGCCACCACTGTCTCTCCGTAAAAGTTCTTTTGCTTAACCACATGGCATCAAGTTGTCCTTTCCTGGCTTCCCCTTCTGGTTCGTGGCGGTGCAGTCGGGCGAAAGGGTCGTCTCTTTGCCGACCGAGTTTCCCCTGCCAGTAGACCCCTGAGAAGGTCGAAAAGACGCTCTGGAGGAGCATCTACTGTTGAGGAGGCTTCTTCGATAGTTGCAGAGGAGCGGCGGCATCCTCTGTGCACCGAGTATCTCCTTTGGGCCAACAGGGTAAAGATCGGCCAGTAAAATGGCGGATCATTTAGCTGCGCCAACTGCAAGCCACAAGATCAGCTAAGCAAATGGACCCATCGTGGAGAACTCGATGAGACTTTCCTTTCATCTCTATTTTCTTTATGCCTGTGAAAAGTCTTTTTTTTCCTTGGAATTACTCCCTTTTCTGGTGAAGCGGCTTTTTAAATGGGGGAAGAGAAGCTCAAAGGATTAAATTTATTTTTGTTTTAATGGTTGATTTTATTTTTGGATACTGGGAGCCTCAAGAAAGATTTTCATAATATTTGGAGAATACTGTTTGCTTTTATCTTTATGGTGTCCGGAAGGATTGAATATCTGACTAATCTTGATTATTTTCTAGGGGACATTCTCTGATAAATCTATTCACTGCATTAGCTATTTTTTCTTCACTGGAAAGGGTTTCATTTTGTGCAAAGGAAAAAGATGAGGAAGCTGGCAGGAGATGGATATTGTGATCATTTTTTAAATATAGTCTCCTTTAAAAGGATAAGGATTTTAAATATAATAAAAATGGAGGAAACTGGTGCAGATCTTACTTATAAGTACATTCTGGACAAAATTTTGGAAAATACGGAGAAGATAATTGCTTGCTCAAAGGAGATTTCTTTGTATCGACAAGGCAAAATACAAGGATTAAGTGAAACATTAGTTTATAAACAAGAGACTTGTGCTCCGCTTATAGAGTTGGAAGAAGTAAACGCACAGTTGGACTATCAATCGATATCAGAAAAAAGACTTGATACCAATGGACAAAGGACTTATGATAAGGAACTGGAGGACTTTGTTTCAGAAGGACAAGTTGGCCTGCAGATGCCATTTGACTTTGAGATAGAGAAAAAAACATGGGAAGAAGAGGAAAACTCGATCAAAGAGGACGATGTAAAAGAAAGGATTTTAATTGAAATTTATTCAATCTTAAAAGAAAGGGGAAATGATGTTCTGCTACAAGTTACCCAGATTAATTATAATTTTCATATTAACTTTAAAAAATGCACAATGGGAGCTTTCCTTTTGGAGTGTATAATGTGGCAGGCGGACGCCCGATTATGGAAACCTATTTGGAATAGAAAGAAACCCAGAATAAGATATAAATATTAAATCTGATTATAGTAATGTGGTAAAGGTTTTATAGTGATCTGGATTGATTTAGATTTGGACTTTGTTAAAAGGGCTTTATTTGTTTTTAATATTAGAGATGGTAAAATGAGAAAAGAATTGAAATATGGGAAAAGATGGAATTAATTATTGGAGATTTGGAGAAACAGTGAAAAATAATAGAATATTGTGAGAAAAAGAAGAATTTATTTTTGGAGTTAATAATGCTTAAATAAAAAAACACTTGGGGCACCTGAATAGTAAATGAATATGTTAATTTAAGATTAAATATTTGCAAAATTAAGAAAGCATGATACAGGATCTTTGGGATAGATTATGTGTTTTTGTAAATTTTTATTGATTAATGAAATATATAGAGAGTGATATGTATGCAATGAAAATTTGTCTTAGAAATGTTTTAATGAGCTTATAACAATATAAATAGATAATGTTAGCCTATTTTGAATAATACAACCTGGATGAAACGTTATATTAGTGAATGAATTGGTTTTAGAAAGATATTGATTTTATTATATATTTTTTTAAATAAATGGAGAGTTTTTTATGTTTAAGTTTAAATGTGTGAAGAAATATAGGTTTCTATAGATTGAAAACTTTTTATGGATTAATGCAGTTGATGGTTAGACATAGTAATAATAATAATAATTATTATTATTGTTATTATTATTATTATTATTGCATTGACAGATTCGTTATTAGTCAATTGCAAAAGGCGGCCTTACTAGGAACTGCTTCCATCCTGCGACGATATCTGTAATACCATCAAACATCCACATCTGCCTATCCCAGGTCATGGATAAGGACTCGATAGGTAGACAAAATGCCAAATCCAGTCTGAACATCTGGCTGACTGTGCGATGATCCATAATAATAATAATAATAATAATAATAATAATAATAATAATAATAAAGTTGGAAGGCACCTTGGAGGTCATCTAGTCCAACCCCCTGCTCAGGCAGAAAACTCTATACCATTTCGGACAAATGGCTGTCCAGTTTCTTCTTAAAAACTTCCAGTGTTGGAGCATTCACTGCTTCTGGAGGCAGGTTGTTCCACTGGTTAATTGTTCTAACTGTCAGAAAGTTTCTCCTATTAATTTGATTATAACATTCTATATAGATAGAGAGGGATATTTTTCAGAAATATTGTGTATATATTTACCATGTTATTGTTTGTTTTTTTAAAAAAATTGATCACCATGTTTCCACGTGGGTTCTTAAGCTGTGTTGGTGTAAAATGGAAAACTAATAAAAATTGTTTTGAAAAAAAAAAATTGTCCTTTCCTGAGAGGGACAGGAGGGACAAGTCCTTACACTTATGAAATGAAATGAGCGTGCCACGACCGAACAAAATACCTCTTGCACATCACAGAGAGCATTGCCTGTTTTCCCTCGTAAGAATTTTCATTTCCATTAAATAAAGTTCATTCTGATGAAATTGGCTTTTAGTACCCAGTTTCTGGAGAACCCAGAAGGACACAACACAGTGTTCCTCAACTATGGCTCTTTTAAGAGGAGTGGACTTCGACTCCCAGAATTCCCCATTTCCATGGACATTAGGAAGAATACCCCCCCTTCCGTGCATGAGGAGAGCTGCCTGGATAGAAACATCATAAATAAGTCTAGATCAGCGGTTCTCAACCTTTGTGTGACGGCGAACCCCGTCACACAGATGCGCCGCGCATGCGCGCCACCCCGCCCACCTGCGCTGCCCCCGTGTGGTGCGCATGCGCGGAGGTGCCACCATGCGTGGCACGCATGCGCGGCGGCGGCCCCCTGCATGGCGCACATGCGCGGCGCGCCCCCTGAGGGGGGAAAATGGCGGATTGCATTGTTTGGCGACCCCCGTAAAATGGTCGTTCGACCCCAAATGGGGTCACGACCCATAGGTTGACAACCGCTGGTCTAGATACTTGGGTCAATAAATACGCTTTTGCCCCATCCATAGTATGGAGTCTGGTATGTATCTATGGAGATTCTCAGTCAAAGGTGCTTTTTTCAAGGGGCAACTGGACTTTCTTGTTTTTCTTTGAAGACGTTTCGCTTCTCATCCAAGAAGCTTCTTCTGCTCTGACCGGAGGGTGGGGAATAGAAGGACTTATACTCCTTGCAGACCGCTAGTCATTTGCATTCTTTTAGAGAGTCGTTCAAGCCACTTGGAGGTTTACCTGTGTGCTCAGGGACACCTAAGATGTGCAAATGGAGGTGGAGCCTTCTTGGAATTGTCTGAAAGGACTGTGTTGTAGACTGGAGATAGATGATGTTGTATCCCTCCCCCTCTGTTGATGTCGTATCCCTTCCCCTCTGTTCAATTTTGACATAGATGGCTTCGTTGATCCCTCTTTCAAACCAGTGGTCCTCTCTGTCCAAAATGTGGACTTTGCTGTCTTTGAAAGAGTGGCTTTTGTCTTTTAAATATAGATGGACTCCTGAATCTTGTCCTGATGGGTTTGTTCTCCTCTGTTGTGCCATGCATTTGTGAAGTGGTTGTTTTGTTTGTTTTGGTTTACTGTTGTGATTCCTCGCCAGCCAGTGGATCCAGCAGGTGAGTCTGAGGAATCAGATGAGGAGGAGGGATCTGCAGTGACATTAGAGTCAGAGGAAAGCTCTGAGGAGCTCCAAGACTTACAGTTGGACAAGGAGCCTGGCCCTCTACTCACACGCTGGCTGAAACACAGCTGTGCTGGGAGTCTGAGTTAGACAGTGATGAAGAATAGTTGGGAAATATCCAGGATGCACAAAAGCGCAGGCAAGAGAAGCGAGTGGGACAGAGGAGTGAAATGGGGCGGCTCCAAAGGCAAAGGAGAAAGCATTAGGAAACCACGCCTTGGCTGAATTATAAAAGAGAAAGTGTGGGAGGTGCTGTTTTGCCGAAGGCAACCGTTCGTGTTGAGGATCGAGTTTCTGTGAACTGTGTTTGTTTGCCTTGGACATTGACTCAGGTCTGTGAGAATAAAAGGGGTTGGTTTTTTTCTTGCGGTTCCTGCCTGCTTGTTGAAAGAGGGGTTTCTCCTTGTGAGCATAACAAGGACTCACGTAGGCTGGGGCTGAACAGTTACTAACTTATCAACTGCAGTGATTCGCTTAACAACTGGGGCAAGAAAGGTCGTAAAATGGGGCAAAACTCACTTGACAAATGTCTCACTTAGCAACAGAAATGTTGGGCTCGATTTGCTCAGTTTTCTGCACCCCCACACAAAAAAATTCACATTCCTGATGCTTCTCGGTGAGACTGTCATATTTTCATTTTAGACTCGAGCCCACTTGAGTTCTGCAAGAGGGAAAAGGCCAGGGCATCAGCAACCAGCTTATTGTGGGCCAATTGGTCTGATTCATGAGGAAGGCAGGAAGATCCCTAAGAAAATGGAGCTTTCCCCTCTGTCTCCTTTCTTGCAGGATAACACCCACATCTCTCCCACCCCTCACTTACCTCCACTTTGGTTATAGCGTCTCTGGAGCATTTGCACGTCCTCCTGAAAGCGTTTCTCATCTTTTTGCAAAATCCAGGTGTACTTGTTATAGAATCTGGAATCTTCCTTCTCCAGTGTATTTATCCAATCCACTCGAGGATGCATCTTCCTGGTGTGGCTTTCGTAGTGAACGATGAGCTGATCGTCTATATAACGTTCGCCTGTGAAGGGTGGCAGCCCTGGACAAGCCTCCGTCGCAGAAGAGTAGCTCACACGGATTACGTGAGGGGAGGATCCTAGGGAGAAACGAGAGCAGAGCGGAGCTAAGAGGGACTAGAGACGGGTTATAGACTGAGGCTCCAGAGAAGTTGCAGCATGAGGTGCAATATGGGACTGTCAGAGCTGCCATCAAATGCTTAGCATTCGTGACTGTCAGCCTGCCTTGAAGTATGGAGTGAGGGGAAAGTGAAACAGTTGAATGTGGCCCCATCACAAAGTGGACTTTTCCCATAACAAGAAGTATTACTATTGGACAATGTGAACACCCGGTGGGAGGGGGCGAGAGAATCTATTGTTTAATTAAGCGAGCTTTCGAGTGGGAAAGCCAGAACTGGTGTCAACTCTACAAATGAGCATGGCTGCAGCCATTTTCCTTCTCATTCCAGGTTGCCACATAGAACGGAGAGGTGTTGCCCAGGTGCTTCGCTAGTCAAAATAATCTTCTGCCCCATGAGAACGAAGGTCATCGGCTGCTCCGAGACTAGGGACTGGGCGTTTCATAAAAGCCCGCCAAATAATCATATTGGTTGGGACATTTAACTTTGTATTGGGAAATTGTTGCTTGTGTATCCAGACTTGGTTTCACTTTTGACCATGCTGACATTTTGTAACTAATAAACATGTTCTTTGAGGAATTTCGAAGCCTCGGCATTCTGCTTTATTCATCTCTGTCTGTCGGAACCATGACAACTGGTTTTGCGTCTTCTGTGCCAGTGTAAATTTTCAGTAAAGTATTATACTCTTGGTAAAATCATGTCTCAGAAGTTTCTTTTCCTGGAAATGCCAACTGGACAGTTGACATAGGGGAGGAGAGGAACTGGACAGGGAATGTTAACTGGGAAATTTTGGCACATAAACTTCAGCTCTGGCTTTGCTATACTGTAGTCCATTTGGCTTTTAGTAACTTTCACTACAAATGGAGTTGAGGGTCTGCCTTTACTAAGAAACCAAGCTGGGGACAGGTCTGATAAGAGACCTTCACTCCACCCAAGTTATACATTTTGAAATGAATATAGTCCGCGATTTACAGACACAATTGGGACCAGATTTTCCATTGTAAGTTTTTGCAGTCAGGCCCAATTTTATGAGAATTTTTAAAGCATCCATTAAGCAAATCACATGGTTCTTAAGTGAATAACATGATCATTAAATAAATTCAGCTTCCCCAATGGGCATTTTTGCCAGGAATCAGACACTAAAAAAAAAAAAAAGGAAATCTTGATCACATGGCCAGTGCAACTGATGTAAAGCTGGTTGCCAAATGCTCAAACTGCAATCGTGTGTGTGTGTGTGTGTGTGTGTGTGTGTGTGTGTCAGTCATAAATGTGAGCACAGGCCTTAAGTCATTTTTTCTTAGGCTGTCATAACTTAGAGTAGAATAATTACTTTAATACTAGTTTTTATGATGGTTCTATGTTAATGAGCGATATGAGAGAATATGATAAACATTTAAATATAAAAAAGTTTACTGTTAGATATTTATTAAAAGGTATAGGTTATAAAATGAATTGGCACTGTGAGAATATTGATAAATGGGCCAACTTAAAACTAATAGATGAAGTTAATTAAGAAAAAAAATGTAATTGTAACATATTTAAAATTGTTACAGGCAGAAACTATTTGTTTATAAAAACTCATTTAATGGAACAAGATAAATATTAATGAAGGATTGGATGGGACTGGTCTGTCTCACAGATACTTTGAGGAAAAACTAAAAGTGTGTCCATTTTGCTTCATAAAGGATTTCCAATTGATGTACAATACATTACTGATGCAAATGGATGTTATTTAATTTTAAATGCTAAAATAGCAGGACTTGTAATAGCTATGGTTAATGTTAATGGGTGTAATTTAGATTCTATTATGTTTTATTAATTTCTTCAATAATTGAGTGTATTTATGATGAGGTAAAGGAGGGGATTTTAATGAAACATTAGACCCCAAACTGGCTAGATACACCAGCTTGATATACCAGCATTAACTACAAATATGAGTTACCTATCCTACAAAAAACAAGATTAAAATAGCATGGGAAATAATTTGCAAAACAAACTGAAACATTTACGGACACAGAAGGCTAGATATCTACAATTCCATGCAGAGAAATATAGAAAAAGAATGTGAATTAAGTATTGTAATATCATCACGGTCCTCAGTGCTGAGCTTGGTTTTTATGTATGCTTCTTTTCCTTTGACTATGTATACACTTTGATTTTTGTGGGGGGTTCTTAATCGTTATTTTAAAAGCAATAAAACAGTTTCACTTTAAAAAGTAAAAACTATGCAATAGGTGGGCTTGGCATGCTTAGCTGTCCTTCTATATTCAGGAAAGGCAGCAAAGAGAGCCCAGCATGGCCAAACTTTCTGTCCCATTTTTTTTAAAAAAAATATATTTTAAAACATTTAAAGAATTAAAATAAATGACTAAACAACCATTAAAAATACAAAACATCGTGATTGGAAAGTAAAACGCTGGAAAAATCAACAGGGACTTTTCAATTATCATAAATGATGCCATTCATTATTGAGGGGGGTCCTTGGTGCTCTCTCTGAGCTGGCTTGTTCCCTTGCAGACGTTTCACAACCCAGACTAGGACTAGCACTGATGAGGCAACCTAGTTTGGGTCAGGAAACGTCCGCAAGAAAACAAAGGCAGCTCAGAGAGCAGCAAGGAGCCTCTCGTGTCAACCCTGAGTTACGAATATTCTCCTTTATTAGTACAATACATGATTTCATGAATTCAGGGATCCCACCCGAGCATGCTAGTCGCGCCTTCAGGGATGTCAGGGAGGGGTTGGAGGGCAAAAAAGTCACGAACGGGGTCCTATCGCAGGTGGTGCCCATGATCCTGACCTTGCAACCCACCTAATTCCCCCCCTTCCTGACCCAGCTGTCCAAAATAAGCCGTTGCGCCCCTCCAGCTACGCCCCGGGACTCACCGAGGCTGCCCTCCAGAAGGCAGGAAGCGGCGGCCCCGAGAAGCCACAGGAGCCCCCAGCGCGGCCGCATCGCTTCGGCAGTCCCGCCGAGCGGCCGCTTGCAACGAAACTCTCCGCGCTTGCGCTTTGGAACCGGGATGCCCAGATCAGCTGGAACGCTGGAAAATCCCTCTCATTAAGGAGAGTTACGCTGGGAGATAGTGTCGAACGTGACGCAATAATGGAGGGGCGCGGCTAGGGAGGGGCGTGGCCAAGGCTGCGCGGGGTGGGGCTTGCTGGAATCCAGAGGGGGAGAAATATTATGCCCAAAACAGAATGGGGGGGGGGGAATAACACGGTCCGCTTTCACACGAGGCAGGCAGGTGAAGAACGTAATAGCATAGCATAGCATAGCATAGCATAGCATACAGTACAGTACAGTACAGTACAGTACAATACAATACAATACAATACAATGTGATAGGATTAAGTGAATGCTCTTCAAAATTTAATATTGAAAGTAATTTTTAAAATTGAATCTGCTGTGTACAAGGAGGGATTTGGGGGGGGAGAGGGGCAGAAACAAAAATGTGGGGGAGGCTGTCTCATTTGGGGAGTCTGTACAGTGCCTGGCACAGAGCCCCAAGGCCAGCCCTTCTCTCTCAGCCCCAAGGAGGAGCCAATGGCAAACCAGTTCTGAAACACCTGGATAACAACAACAACAACAACAACAACAACAATAATAATAATAATAAAAAACTCGCAGTCTGGGCGGTCGCCAGGAATCACAAAAATCGGGTCTTCAAACTTGGCCTATTTTATAACCTGTGGACTTCAACTCCCAGAATTCCTCAGCCAGCCAGCCAGCCAGCCTGGCTGAGGAATTCTGGGAGTTGAAGTCCACAAATCATAAAAGGGCCAAGTTTGAAGACCCCTGGGCTAGATGGCACCAAAATTGGGGGGGGAACAACACCAGAGAGAAAGCTGAATTTACTTCTGCACAGAAAATGTCCAAAGACTCGGCTGGCACCTTAAACACGTGTATTTCATGGGGGGGTGGGGGTGGGAATCCTCTAATCCCTTATTTCTTATTATTCTAGAGTAAAGGCACTCATTTATCCAAAGCTCCAAATTTCTTTTGTCAGGGTTTTTTTTGGGGGGGGGGGAGGGCAATAAAAGTCATTTTTAAAATGTTAAATTAAATTTTAATTAATTAAATTATTTTTCCAAAAATTAAATGCTAGCTTAAAATCCCCAACTCTGCCCAACCTCAACCACCCTGGGAACAGACCCCTGCTCGCCTCAGGTGGTGTGCACAACGCACCGGATACGCCATGCATTGTTTTTTTGTGTGGTTTCCTTTTACCTTTTGAACTGTTGCAACTGGTTGAACACCTGTACCAAAGGCACGGTCTACGTGGAGGGAGTTATGCGGTGGGATGCCCGAAGGTCCTGGCTGGGGCCCTGGGCCTTTACAAGATTTTTGTACGTGGCTTAGACAAAAAGGAACGCTCAGCTAGAATAGAGTAGAATAGAATAGAATAGAATAGAATAGAATAGAATAGAATAGAATAGAATAGAATAGAGAATAGAGAATAGAGAATAGAGAATAGAGAATAGAGAATAGAGAATGGAATGGAATGGAATGGAATGGAATGGAATAGAATAGAATAGAATAGAATAGAATAGAGAATGGAATAGAATAGAATAGAATAGAATAGAATAGAATAGAATAGAATAGAATAGAATAGAATAGAATAGAGAATAGAGAATAGAATAGAATAGAATAGAATAGAATAGAATAGAATAGAATAGAGAATGGAATGGAATAGAATAGGATAGAATAGAACAGAACAGAACAGAACAGGAACAGAACAGAATAGTAGAATAGAATAGAATAGAATAGAATAGAATAGAATAGAATAGAATAGAATAGAATAGAATAGAATAGAATAGAATAGAATAGAATAGAATAGAATAGTTGGAAGGGACCTTGGAGGTCTTCCAGTCCAACCACTGAAAATCCTTTTCCAGCTGTTTTGCAAATGAATAAATTGTGATGGTTCTTTTGTTATGTACCCAGATAGTATTGTGGGAAACAAGAAATGTTGCCCTTTCTCATTTCATAGGGATAGGAATGAATAAACATAGAATAGGTTCCAAATTAATGATTTAATGCTTTAACTTGAACTTTATGTTATTTCACAATAAGAATGTGCTATTTGTAATCTGCTGAGCTTTGTGCAATACATAAAATGCAATGTATGTAATTATGTATGTAATTATATATATATATTTGGAATATACGTATTTTACTGTAGGGAAAGGGGAAGTGAAAGTAGCAGATATGTAGAAATTTCAGAGGGGAACTGTCATTCCAAGGAAGAATTATGGGTGGATGGTCAGTGAAAGGGAAGTATAAAAATGTTGGTTTAAGTCTGATTCGGGGCCACTGGTTTATAGCTGTTGTGTTTGAATCTGCTATTGTCAGGTGGTCCTCATTGCAATCGGTTATTGATGTAAGTCGTGAAAGCTACGTTATTATGTTATGTTCCAAATTATTAGCAAATTAAACCTCTGAATCCTAAAGGAAGAAATATTGTCCTTGTGTTGCTGTCTCTTGTCATTTTCATTGGGTTTTTCCACGACAGTATTAATTAACTAAATGCATCTTTAGGTGAATTGTGAAATGTGATCAGAATAATAGAATAGCAGAGTTGGAAGGGACCTTGGAGGTCTTCTAGTCCAACCCCCTGCTCAGGCAGGATACCATTTCAGACAAATGGCCGTCCACTCTCTTCTGAATGTTCCACAACCTTTTTTCTCTGGGCTGCGGTGGGCCTCCTGGATGAATCTAGGGGGAACCCACCGTCTCCCCCCAAAGTTTCCTTATATCAAATACAGGTAGTCCTCAACTTATGACCTCAACTCAGCCCAATTTTTTTTCTTTCTTAAGCGAAACGTTTGTTAAGTGAGTTTTGCTCCATTTTACCACCTGTCTTGCCCCATGTTGTTAAAAGCATCACTGCCGTTGTTAAGTTAGCAACGTGGTTGTTAAGTGGCTTCCCCCACTGACTTTGCATGTCAGAAGGTCGCACAAGGGGATCCCCTGACTGCGGGACACACCAACTGTCATAAGTATGAGTCAGTTGCCAAAGGTCTGAATTTTGATCATATGACCACTGGGAGGCTGCAACAGTTGTTAAGTGTGAAAAACGGTCATAAGTGTGAAAAATTGTTCCACTGGTTAATTGGGCTCACTGTCGGGAAACTTCTCCTCAGTTCTGGGTTGCTTCTCTCCTTGATTAGTTTCCATCCATTGCTTCTTGTCCTGCCCTCAGGTGCTTTGGAGAAGAGGTTGACCCCCCCCTGTTCTTTGGGGCAACCCCTGAGATACTGGAACGCCGCTATCATGTCCCCCCTCGTTCTTGTTGCTCTTTTCTGCACACTTTTTAGAGTCTCAACATCTTTTTTACATTGAGTGGTCCTCAATGGAACCACATCTACATGGAGGGAAGTGTGTATTGGGGTGCCCCAGGGCTCTGTTCTGGGCCCAGTGCTCTTCAACATCTTCATCAACGATTTGGGTGAGGGGATAGATGGGGAACTCATCAAATTTGCAGACGACACCAAGCTGGCAGGAATAGCCAACACTCCAGAAGACAGGCTTAAGATACAGGAGGATCTTGACAGACTTGAACACTGGGCACTATCAAACAAAATGAAATTCAATGGTGAAAAAAGAAAGGTTCTACATTTAGGCAAGAAAAACCAAATGCACAGGTATAGTATAGGGGGTACCTTGCTCAATAATAGTAACTGTGAGAGGGACCTCGGAGTCCTAGTGGACAATCACTTAAATAGGAGCCAGCAGTGTGCTACAACTGCCAAAAAGGCCAACACAGTGTTAGGCTGCATTAACAGAGGGATAGAATCAAGATCATGGGAAGTATCAATACCACTTTACAATGCCTTGGTAAGGCCACACTTGGAATACTGCATCCAGTTTTGGTCACCACGATGTAAAAAAGATGTTGAGACTCTAGAAAGAGTACAGAGAAGAACAACAAAGATGATAGGGGACTGGAGGCTAAAACATATGAGGAACGGTTGCTGGAATAGGATATGTCTAGTTTAACAAAGAGAAGGACGAGGGGGGACATGATAGCAGTATTCCAATATCTCAGGGGCTGCCACAAAGAAGAGGGAATCAAGCTATTTTCCAATGCGCCTGAAGGCAGGACAAGAAGCAATGGGTGGAAACTAATCAAGGAGAGAAGCAACCTGGAACTAAGGAGAAACTTCCTGACAGTGAGAACAATTAATCAGTGGAACAACCTGCCTCCAGAAGCGTTGAATGCTCCAACACTGGAAGTTTTTAAGAAGAGACTGGACAGCCATTTGTCCGAAATGGTATAGGGTTTCCTGCCTGAGCAGGGGGTTGGACTAGATGACCTCCAAGGTCCCTTCCAACTTTACTATTATTATTATTATTATTGTGGATCATCGCACAGTCAGCCAGATATTCAGACTGGATTTGGCATTTTGTCTACCTATCGAGTCCTTACCCAGGACCTGGGATAGGCAGATATGGATGTTTGATGGTATTATAGATATCATCGCAAGATAGAAGCAGTTCCTAGTAAGGCCGCCTTTTGCAATTGACTAATGGCAAATTTGTCAATGCCAATGGTGTTCAAGTGGTGCTCCAGTTGTTTTGGGATTGCACCCAAGGCGCCTATTACTATTGGTACTACCCACTGCTGGTGGAAGGGAGACTTCAGAGAGGAGTAGATGAAAGCTGATGGCCCCATTGTTATGAATTAGTCCTTTTGGTGGTATCCACATTCAATCCCCTTTGAAGTTGTACCCTAGGAAGTGAGGGCCATAAACCCCTTTGTTCACCCCCTCTTCCCCTCCATCGTATGACAAAATCCAGAGAGGGCAGAAATGGGGCTTTCCATGGTGAATAACTAGAGATGAAATATAATTGGTTTCTGACATTGACTCCCTCTTCTTTGTGGCAGCCCAGAGTTTTGAGTTTTGCATTCTGCTTCCCAGAATGACTCACATTATTACACCTGTATTGATTTGTGTTTTGTTTCTCAGCTGAGGTTTCTGACAGGAAGCAATGCAACGAGGGGGGGAACTCTGTTATTCTCTAGACCCCCCAGGGTACCAGAAGGTAAGATAAGAAGTCATTGGGTGGGGGGGGGAGAGC